GACTTCGATTTCATATATTATTCTTGAAAATTCATTCTCCTGACACGTAAAGGTGTGAAAATAAAACAAACACGTCTATCTTAATGTTGTATTATGATTTTAAGTTTCCACATAAGATATTCTACTATCATTTGCCCTAAACTGCGTTCAAGGGATGTTCTGGCAGTGAGCCGACCCACGCGCAAAATTCTGACGCCAACAGGAAGTTTCATGATTCAATGAACTGAATTCTCCACCTTATTTCTAGCATTAATGCCCTTTACCACCAGAACCATGAAGGCGGCTGGAAAATGACTGGTATTTGAAAGACGCACCAACTTTTGTTATCCCACTTGCCCTGGTTATTGGTGCGAGACGAACGCAAGTCGATGCATCATCGGCATTCTCTGTACTCCACTTTCTGCCTCTACCACTGGCGACATAATTTGATTATCAAATCGTCCCAGTTTATTCCCAGATGACAGAGTGGGCGTCGGTGGTCACCCAGAATACAGTTTGAATTTCCTTAGGTCCAATTTAGGAATATATGCTTTCTTAATGGCTCTGAACCGCTTGAGAGAAGCAGTTCAAACTGAATGGTTACTTCAAAGTACTTAAGTAACTTTGGAATGTTCCTCTGTCACTAGATAAACAAATGATGTCAACCAGTTTTACTGATATTATTGTATTAACAACGAATTAAGGGTATCATCGTATTGAAATGGTAACTACGCCGAATGATGATCGTACAGCGTTTCTTTCAGTCCCATTATCAAATTGTTCCTTACGGTCCTATACCTTGAGATGGTTGACCTTTTCCCATATGCTTTATTTAGATAAGCCATTAATTCCCCTTTCTTCGTTCTAAGCTACCTCGTGTCAGTTCAATTTATCTTTCTCCAAAAGTGCAATTTAGAATGATTGGCATAGCAGGTGTCCATTGTTTAGTTTAACATGCTTAGTTAAAAACACAGTCTTGTCGAAAACTGCTAAAATAATCTTTATTAAATACGACCGACTGAAAAACGCTTAACCATAAAACTAATTATTACAGATTTTAAAACGCAACGTATTAAAATGAAATTGAACTTTACCTTATATATTTCATTGATGTACGTGATGTTATCCTTTGATTCGACTTCAATTACTTTTTCCAATGTAGGGCAATATTTGTAGCTTCTTAGCAGCTATAAAGAGCTTGATATCAACTAGCGAAAAACTTCGTCCCATTGCTTCTTACTGCGTCCTGATCGACTGGAACGGTGTGTATCACAATTGGCTGCTGCTGTCTTTGATCGTTCTTAAAGTGCTCAGGAAAAAGGCCTTCAAGATTGCACCGTGCGCTCATAAGAGTACGGTTAGTATCCGTGGAGCGAACATATACCTAGCATATACAATGATCAGTCATTCAAGTAGTTTACTGAAGAAGTTAGCTGATACGTAGCTCCATCCGCTCACTGATCTATGAGAACAGCGTTTATCGCCGAGTACTCGCAGGATGGCGAAAGACCTAGTCCATCGCCGTTCAAGAAGACTGGATGATTTCACCGCTAAGATATAAGGACCACCGTGGCAACGAAGGTCGAATGAACGGAGTGAACGAATATTTCGATTGGAGTAATTTATTACACTGATTAATTAATAAAGGTTGGTCAAGCTGGCTGAGAAAGTTCAAACATGTAAACGAAAAAGAAACTGTCTCATTCACAAGCCTCTGACCAGACTTGGCAGATTTCTGACCGCCTACCATTTTCTATGATAAACAAACTATACGCAAAGCGAAAATGTTTGTCACAAGTGACCTCGGCAATGCAGCCAAAACCTCCAACTGAACGACCAACGTCTGTTTCGATGAACTGTTGTTTGATAAGTGGTTTTTTCGCTAGACATCGATTAGTAAATGAAATCAACTAACTAGCTATAGAAGCGTCGTTTCGAACGTGGTTCCATATAAAATGAAATAAAAACTTAAAACCAGGTGAAAATATTATGAACACCCGTTCTATCACGAAGAGCGCTCTGGTTAAACTTCACGGATATTCTATTAAATGATAAAAATAATGCATATATGTATAAAATGTAAAAGTTATATCCTCTCTTTACTTTTTTTCTCCTTTCAGCTGTTTCAGTTACGCATGACGTCATTTTGCTGTGTTCACAAGATATTCGTAGTTAATAATCAACTATTTTCTTACCTCACTCGAGTTGTACCCGGAACCAAGAAGCTCGCCGTATAAATTTCGAAGGAACTGCCCAAGACGAACTTGCTGTTTACATCCTTTCTATAATAAAACGTGTCATGAAAGTGTTAAGACGTCGAAAATGTTTAATTTTGAACTATTAAGTT